ACACTCAGCACTACTAAACATTTAACTAGTGCCCTCAAAAGCATCAGCAATTAAAAAATTATGTATTTCAACCCTCATTGAAAATATGCAGCATCTATAGACATCTTTCCATTATTTTAAGGTTTCTACTGCAGCATCTGACAGTGGCATACATTTGTAATCCAGCAATTAGCAGACAGAAGCAGAAGGATACCAAGTCTGATGCCAGCCTGGACAACTCAGGGCAATTCTGTCTCAAAGAAAATATTTTAAAAGGCTTGGGAATATGGTTCAGTGTTAGAGTGTCCTTGGTTCAACCCCCAGTACCAAAAAAAAAAATCCTAAATAAAAATATTCTCATGAGCATCAGATATTTAAATCTCTGTTAAAATGTATATATGTATATGTATATATGCACACACATATTTTTTCCCATATAAATCTATAAGGAAGGAGGGGTAAAATGAAAAACACAGTTTTTCTCTTTCTCTTCCCTACCAATAAAAACTGTTAAGCAAGCTCTGTGCTTGCTTCTGAGAAGGAAAGTAGAGAAGAAAACTCTGGAACTGTTTTTAGTTGCACAAAAGGAACAAGGTGGAGCAAGAGAAAGATATGCAAAAGAAAAGATGAGCAGAATAAATAAGTACCCCTAATGGGGGCGGGGGGGGGGGGTACTCTAGCTCCATCCCCAATGCTCAAGGTAGCGCTCTTCAACTTCCAATCTTCTCACCCTCCATCTAGAATCCTAATTAATGATCTGGGGTAAGCAGTATTCTCACAAAGCCGGCTTGCCTTCCTATAATAGCTAAGCACCAGGTACAGTACCAAATGAATCATCTTTTTTCATCCTCACAACAACCTGAGGACTGAGGCCACACGAAGTTCTGTAACTTAAGGTCACAAGACTTGTAAGTGGTACAGTCTAACAAGAAACTCAGAATCTCTATTCTGTTAACCACTACACTATATCCACTTTTCTTGCAGATTCCAAAGCCTCACTAATATTTATCAGCACAAGATGAGACCAATATTAAGGAAACTGCTTAAACTCATGTATTATAAGCAAGCAGTAAATATTAATTCACACATATAAGAGTAGAACAGAAAGAACACAAGTGCTTTGCTCTAATAAAGGCTAGTATTAGAATAAGTAATGGAATAAGGTAGAATGCATTTTCAAAATGTGGGGGAACATGACAACCGTAAAAGCTTACTACTCAAAAATATGAGCTGCTAAACATTCTTAAAATGCAGAATCTCAGGTCCCAGCCCACACTTAATGAATCTGCATTTTAACAAGATTTTAAAGGCAATCCATACGCATTTTAATTTTGAAAAGCACTACTTTAAAATGGTGAACAGCAATTTGAGCAGCAAGCGCCTAGAAAAAAAAAGCCTTTGTAGTTCTTAAAAATAAACAGACATCTCTTGGAAATCATTGATCAAAAAAACACAGGGCTTCAAATCAACACAATACTACTTTCTGCTAAATTTAAAATTCTCAAAGTTTTCCAGTCACCAGCAACTCCAATGTTCCATGGCACTCTTCCAAAACAATAAAAAAAGAAGAGGAAAAAAAACAACCCAAAATTGCACTTGCTGCCCGGACCACAGCACATTCTCTCAGAGAAGGATTTAAAGTGAGAAGACTGTCAATAATTATATGCACATTGTTACTGATCTTGAAGTGGCCCAATCCAGAAAAGATGATGTTTCTCATAAAGGTAAGAGATCAGAGCTACAAATACTTGAGAAAAGCAGCAAATGGCACTCTGCATCAGAACACCAACTTCACTCAAATTGATACAGATCATACCAGCTAACTAGTACTACATTAAAAGAATTGTCTTGGGGCCAGGGATTTAGCTCAGTGGTTCTGCCGTCTGCCTCTAAAGCACAAGGACCTGAGTTCGATCCTTGGTACCAAATACAAAACAAAACAAAAAAATTGTCTAAAACTTTTAGAAAAAATATTAGTACCTTACAAGTCTAAACTTTTTCTTTCATAGATCATGTGGCAGGTAAAATGGATCCAAAGTAAACTAATTATTTTTTAAAGAAATGTGATGCTGGGCTGGGGATTTAGCTCAGTGGTGACGCCACCTGCCTTGGAAGCGCAAGGTCCCGAGTTCAATCCCCGGTACCAAAAAACAAAACAAAACAAAAGAAATATGATGCTAAAATAGCTTAATCTGGTGCTTCTGTATATGTCTGTGAACTATATTCTAATTTAAACTTATTTATGAAGACGTAATGAAGTGCAGTTGCCAAATAAGATTCCTTCATAATCTTAAGGCTTGCAGAAACTTGAAAATATTTACTATGTGTAATGACTTTAGATTTCTTAAATAACTACCTCGATTAGGAACAAATTGCCCAATCTGTGAACATTACATACTTAAGTGCATCAAGTTACTGGTATTGTAACACCATCCAAAGCTTTAATAGTTCTTAGTAGGAACCAGAAATCAAAATAGATTCCACTTGTCAAATGATTGCAAAAAATTCAAAATTCCAAATACTGTAGATTAGATATCTCTATCCCATTATATAGTTATTCTGTATTATCAATTCTAAATACAATTTTATTTTGAAAGAAAATATCTTCATGAATATTATATACAAAACTGTGATATAAATTTTTCCGGATATTTAACATCTTTTTCTTTTATACAGCCAAGAATGTACTGCTTCATCTGGACTGCCCAATTTTTTTGAAAACATTATTTTTACTTTTTTTTTTTTTTTTGGCATTTCTAGGGATTGAAGTTAGTTCCTTGAGCATGCTAAGCAACAGCTCTACCACAGATCCACACCTCCAGCCCAAAACCGTGATTCAAGTAGAATCCAAGTAACATCAACCTGAAATAAATAAACAGTAAAGGTAAAGATCTAAAACACATACAGCAATTTTCTTAAATCTTAAGAACCTATTCCAAGATTCCCCCACCTTCTTTACAACTTGAAGAAGTTACTTACCCCTCTAACACTTGTTGAAAATCCATCCCCTCAGTATAAGCAACTTAATAGAATTAATTGGATGAAACCTCAACAGAACTTTAGAGTCACTTTGACTTTATGTAAATAAGAGTTTTGGAGTCATAAGACTTGAGTTTGAATCAACATAATAGTTTGAATTCATAAACCAGGTGACAGACCTTGGGCAAACTTAACTATTACGTTCCTTTTGCTGCTACAGTTCCTTTTGCTGCTACAGTTAAATGACGGTTGTCATCTCTCTTTCGGGGTGATTATAAAATATTATAGAAAAACCACATGAAGTATCCAGAATGATCTTACTAAAACCCACTAACTTTCATGAAAATTGTTTTTAAATAAACTTCTCCAAATCTGTATTAGATATGTAAACATCAAACAAATTATTTTCATGTTTCCTAAAAGATAAATTTGTGATTTAAAAGGAAGTAGCATCTGAAAAAGTATACACTATTACTGGGGTATTAAAAGCCATCAGATGGTAAATGTTTTACCATTGCAATAAAAGTTAAAAAATATTTTACTAAAGTTTTATACAGATTTTTGCTACAGCTAAAATACAACTATCAAACAAAGAATCAAACGAATCTAGATCCAGAGAGGTAAAGACACTGTGGCAATAAAATACAAATGATTATAAATACTTTACTCCTGGAAATGCATATTTTTAATGGAACTTAGTATATAAAGTACACGTCTCTTTACAAAGACATGCTTTTTTTTATTCAAGTGAAACAATGTTTAAAACTTGACAAGTACGTATTAGAGATTTATAGATTCAAGAAACTTTTCAACTTAGCATACACTTTAAATCATTTGATTTATCCTCATTGTTTGATTATAACTTTTGTGAACTTTGTTTCTCCCACTGTTGTGTACTTACTGGTTAAAGTTAATGTGTATTTACCCAGACTGTGAGATTTGTAATTCTCACCAGAGAAACTGTCAAATCTCATGCATGAACAGTTTTTAAATTTCAGTATTAATAATTTTAAAGCTATTATCAACACGTAGGTCTTATGCTCACTTAAAGTTCTTATATCTGCAGTTCAAAAGGCCACGTTGTTTGGGCTGTTTCTTTCAGGAAGGAATTTTTTATATTCACAACATAATTAGATTTCTAGAACTGATAACCTAAACCTTTAATGATAATTAAAAATCATGAATATGCAAAATAGGGAACACAATCATGTTTTAAGGACAAATATACTTTTCAAAAAACTAACTTACTTTTCATATAAATAGGGTTTAAGTCAGTTCAATGACTTTAAGAGTCTGTACTTCCTTAAAAAATGTATAAGGATTTTTTTTTTTGACTAATATACACCAGTATCCTTGATTTTCCACTAAAAAGATTACTCATTTTGCTGGGGTTTGTTAAAGGACGGAGATGTGAAATGCTATCTGACTATAAAGAAATCTTACGTCACCTTTGATTGTTTTGATTCTGGTTGCATGTATGTGTGGCTGCGTGTGCGAGTCCCTGGGAGAGAGAGGGAGAAAGGAGGGTGTACGAGTAAAATGACAGTTTACGAAGCCCGTAAAATCTACCTTGGATCAAATTCAAATTCACAAACTACACAAAGGTCTCCGGATTTGCCTAGAGCTACCGAGAAAAATCAAATCTGCCCCTGCCATCTCCGAACCTACTAAGAGTCTGTAGTGAACTTAACCTTTACTCCTTGTGGCACTAAGGGGGCAGGCACACTGGTTCTCAGAGAAGAAAATGCAAAACACCAATTCTCCGTGCCACAGTTAAAAAGAGAAAAGACAGAGGAAGGATGGGAGAGAAAGAACAAAAGAAAAAGAGGAATGAAGACAGAGGAAAGAAGGCAGGGAAGGAAGGAAAAGGAAGGTAATAAGGAGGGAGAGGAAGGAAGGAAGAAAAAGAGCGAATGCGCAGCATCCACTTAACATGACAACTACTTTGGCTCAGTCACCTCTATCTGCAAAAACGTATCTTATTCTAGTCTCTTAAGACAGAAGCGCAGTGGGGAAGCACTCGGGCTCGCGTGCTGGCATACCTGTCAGCGTGATTCTTTCGTCTGGAGGCACCGAGAGGTCAGGGTTTCCATGCACTTTCAGGGTGCTCGGATTTGCAGAGGCTGCCCGAGCTCCCGGGACTTTTGAGGCTGGCCCTCGGGTGCGACCCTTCATTCCCAGGGACAGCAGGCGACCTTTGTACATCCACTTCTGCAGCTTCTTGACTGTCACTGCAGGCGGTCTGAGGAAGGGGGGCTCCTCCTGGCAGCTGTCTTTGCCGCTGAATATCACAGAGGACTGCGCAGGATCCCTGAACGGGCTTCTCGAGGAGCACCCGGGGCCGTGGGTGCAGGGACGCAGGAGGCCGGCGGGCTCCGTCGCCCGGGCGCTGCCGCCCCAGCTCCAGCCGTCCATCCCGCCTCCACGTGGCGGGGGCTCTTCCCGGTCCTCGCGAGCGCCCCACCTGATCCAGCTGTCGCTCGGCCACCGCTGCAAGGGAGGCAGCTTGGCACCCACCTGGAGACTCTCGAGGCTTCTGCTGCGGGACAGCGGCATCCGAGGACAGCGCAACCGGCCGTACCCCGACTCCCGCGGAGGAGACCAGGGCGGGGACACCTGTTGCCCGGATCGGTCTCCGCCTCCCAGCTCCAGGTCCCGGCGGCAGACGGGGCTGTTCGCGGCGCCGCGGGGAAAAGGCGGCAGGCCCGCAACCCGGGCTTCCGAGGTGCCGCCCCGATCCGCCGAGCCCCCGCCGCCCCGCCGCGAGCCGGAGTCCGGGGGCAGGTCGTGCATGGCCTGGATCAGCAGATAATAGGCCTCTCGCAACTGGGTCTGCAGCCTGCCCGTCTCCAGGCGGCCGCCCTCCGCCCCCAGGGAGGAGCCCGCTCCGGGAGGTGGGAGCCGCCGCTCTGCCTCCGCCCCCTCAGGCGCGGCGCCGCCGGGCAGGTTCTCGTAGTAGTCTACGGCGCTGTGGTCCGCGCCGTCCTCGTCCTCCGCGCTGCCCTCGGAGCCCGGCGCGGCGTGCAGAGAAGCACGAGCGTGGCTCGGGGGGGCGGCCTCCTGCCTGTCGTGCAGACGCGGCCCAGGCGCCTTCGGCTGCTCCAGGGCCCGCGCCCCAGGCGACGGCGGGGGTTGCTCCGAGCTCGGACCGGCGCCGCCAGCCTGCTCCTGTCGTGGGGAGCCCGGGGCGCCCCAGGTGTCTCCCTGAACAGCCGAAGAAGCCGCCGCCGGCGCTGTGGCGGCGCCACGGGGACCCCGCCTCTCCCGCAGTCTCGAAAGGGTCCTCCTCAGAGGGTCAGCCATCCCCTCCACCTCAGCAGCCGGGCTCGGCCCCGCCACGGGGAGAGGTCGGAGCGCCGCTGTGGAGTACGCGGCGCTCGCGGAGGCGGCGGCGGCCCCCCATGACCGGGGCTGGCCCTCGCCGGCTCCTCACATACTTGGCATAACTCTGCCGCGGGAAGCGTGGGGGAGGGCGGCGGCGCCGCAGCGCGCATGCCCCGGAGACCCCGGCCGCGACGGGGCGCGCGGCCCAGGTGGGGGCGGAGAGGGCAGAGCTCCGGGAGGCCCGGGAAAGCGGGATCCGCTCACCCGGCGCGAGAGGTGGATACAGGGGGGGCGGGGGATCGAGTGGGAAGGTGAGTCTGACTTGGCAGACGCGAGGTTTTAGGAACCGGGAGAAAGGGAAAGTGCCCTCGTGGCCCCCTCCCCGGGCCTTCGCCGACCCTTTCCCGGTGCCCCCGTGGCTCGAGGCGTAGGTTGCTTATAGCAGGTCCCAGCTTGAGAGAAAACAAAGATTGTTTTGACAAAGTGTGAGTACAGGTGTATCTCGGCGCTGTGTGTTCTACAAATGTTCGGATCGTTTTAACTTCACGGGGAGCTGGCTAGTTAAAAGAAGTTTACAGCTATTCCTTTTCAATAAGAAAATCTTTTTGTCAGAAAAAAAATCACCGTCCGTTCCTGTTAAGTTTGTTCCCCTGCTTTTTAAAAACTAATGCATGCTACAACATTTTTACAACCAAAACTTGTGACATAGAGCCACAAATATCCTAGTGTCCAAATTTAAAATACAAGTTTGCAGCTTTTAAACATAAGAAAGTTAACTCTTAATTTTAATTCAAATAGTGGATTGAAAAACAACTGAAAATGAGAAGCAATGTAATTTGGAAATACCAACTCTTGTCCCCAGAATACTAAATCACATGCAGTTGTATTCAACTAAAATATCTCATGTTGCTGCGTATTAATTGACTTATTAGTAATTGCTAAAATCAATGTTATCACCATCCGTGATTCAGAGCCTCAGTGTTTAGACTATATATTGAAAAGGGCCTTTTAGCTACTCATATACTAACGTCTGCACTTAGTAGGTACTCATGTACTCATTTGTTTGCTGAATAAATGCTTGCGTGAGTAAAAAAAGGTTAGCCCTAACTTATTTACGACTATATTTCCCTGTGTTGTGTTGTTTGCATTAAATACTCAGGCTCTAAATTTGCTTTGATCTATACTACCCTTATTAGTATCTAGGCTCTCTGCCTCCTGAAATGATTTTACATGCATCTGTATTTGCAGAAATCTTACTGGTTCTTTATGTTCACCTGCCTTCTTCACTGTGAAGTCATCTCTAAGCTCCCAGATGAGCATGATCTCAAATTCTTCCAAACTCCAACAGTACTCCTACCTAGCACCACAAAACAAACCTCAGTACTACCCAGTCAGTATAGTTAAGATTTTTTTGGTTATTTTATAAACTTGTATGCATCCTCTATCTATGTCCCTTATAAGAAAACTTTAAAACACCGTGAGGCAGACTAATTCTATTTGACTGTTGTATTCTCCACAGGATATAAGTACAGCAGCTTAAATACTGTATATGATGGGATATGTATTTAAATATCAGTTCTAATTTAGAGAAAACAAATGGCTTTAATTTCCAGTCTACTGCCTAACTCTCCACTAGACCGTACTATATTAGTGTTGTTTTAAAGTTCTTTCAGTGAGTAATAAGTTTGTTAAATAATCTTATATGTGAAAATACTATGATATGTTCCATTATAATATGCATACATTAATGTTTACAGTTCTACAATTTCATTTCAGTACTCAAAGTTATTTAATGAATAGTCAAGGAATAAAATTTATTTCTCAGTGAAATATTTGCAGAGAAAGCCACTGATAGCAATGCTACCAAGTAATGGTGTCTATAAACACAATTTGATCTCTATCTCAGAAATTGTGTCTGTTCCTACTCTCTTTTGCAAAATCTTTTTATTCTTTATAGTTAACAGATTTAAGAGCAACATAAACTACACATACATATATATGTATAGTATATTTATATATGAATAGGTTTAGGTTAAGTTTCATCTTTAATTCAACTTATCAACTTGTTCAGCAGTTTTGAAACATTGTCTGACATAAAATACTCTACATTGTTCTAGAAATTACTTAGAATTAAGTCTAATGCAGCACACCACAGCTGATCTTAATGTTGCTTTAAAGTTGACAGTGTTCTATCCCATGAATTCATAATTTTAAGTACTACTTTGTGTCATAGAAATTAATAAGGCAGTCACATCCATGGGACACTATATAATGACCTTAAAATATAAATTCTACTTTTCTATATATGCATTATACTTCAGTAAAGTTTGTAAAATTAATCCCAAGAACACTGTGCCCACAGAATTTATATAATTCAGACAGTACATAATAAGATATGAACAGAAGCTATACTTTGTAAAATCTTTTTCATGTTTTGACAATATATCTCTTCTCGATTATCTCAATTTTCATATCTGTCTAATTGGCAGATGGTGGCAATACATCTTCCAAGGTTTATACTTGTTTCTTGGTGACTTGGAAATTGTTTTGATGCTCCATGAATTAACAGCCATGTGTTGGCACTGTCACAAAAGATATAACAACTATGGAATAATAGGTCTCCAGTAAGGCAGTGAGCCAAACTAGGAATAGGGGAGTAATGACTCAGTCTGTGAGAAGGGAAAAAAAGCAGGGCAGGTTGAGACATAGTGCTAAATTTAACAGTAATAGAGGGGAAGTACGTATGATACAGTTATTTTCTACTAGTCATTTTAGAATGTGTCTATGTCTCACTGGTGTTCAGTCTGCCATCATATTCTTAGTGGAACCAAAGGCAAGTTAGCTCTGGCATTTGCCGAGTTCTCTCCCTGAACTGCCTCCCAGGAATCCTCTTGAGTATACCTGCCTAGTATGCCATACAGCTCCATCAGTATTCCAGATAAAGTTCTTCAGCCTAAAGCTAATCCCATACAACTGCTCTGAGAATCATGGGTGGCATGTTCTTGGTACAGCAACTTTTACTGTTTCATAATTAACAGTACCTGGCAATTTGCAACATTCTTTATTTCATGCTCACCCCAGCCAAATGCATAGAAAAAGCCTTTTGCAGTTTCCTACCTACCGTGCCACTGTGAACTCTTTCTCCCCTGTCAGGCCTCTCTGCTATGCCACCCTGCCTTGGAGCGAGCCGACTATGGACTGAAACCTCTACAAACCGCTCCTAGGGCAGAGAAGCTCAGCCAGTCCCAGCACCCTGAAGGAAGCTCCCCGCCTCCATCCCAGGCTCCTAGGACAGAGAAGCTCAGCAGGTCCCAGCACTCGGAAGGAAGCTCCCCACCTCCATCCCAGGCTCCTAGGGCAGAGAAGTTCAGCTGGTCCCAGCACCTGGAAGGAAGCTCCCCACCTCCATCCCAGGCTCCTAGGGCAGAGAAGCTGAGCCAATCACAGAACCCGGAAGGAAGCTCCCCTGCTGCCATCCCAAGCTCTTAGGGCAGAGAAGGTGAGCTGCGTGGGCGCCCGAAGCACCCCTCGCCCCCCGTGGAAATGAGAAGACACATAAACAAGCCTCAAAAACAGACTTCCAGATCACCTACAACAACCCCAAAGGGAAACCAGATGGAACAATCTGACACTCAACCACCTGGACTCTCTGAACTGGCAACAAAAGAGGATCTGGGAAAAATGAAATCAGAAATAATTACTCAAA